AGAGTTAATTTGCATATTACCTCTTTATTATATAGGATAATATTGTAATAAGTATGTATGGTGCCAGGTGGGTACTGGAAAAATTGGGGGGAACACTTTGTAAAATATATGATTGTCTAAACCAGTGGTTCTCAACCTTCTGGCCCTTTAAATACAGTTCCTCATGTTGTGACCCAACCATAAAATTATTTTCGTTGCTACTTCATAACTGTAATGTTGCTACTGTTATGAATCGTAATGTAAATATCTGATATGCAGGATGGTCTTAGGCGACCCCTGTGAAAGGGTCGTTCGACCGCCAAAGGGGTCGCGACTCACAGTTTGAATACCGCTGATCTAAACACTATGCTGTACATCTGAAACTGACACAAATAAAAAAAACTCGCAAAAAAATTAATAAGACACAAAGAACAGAAAAATAATTAAAACATGAGAAGGAAAGTTGAAAGAAAATGGGGTATCAGGAAACTTTTGGTCTGTTTGTAGGCTCTGGAACATTTCAGAGTGTTTTTGAAGAGGTCATAACCTTTCTGGGTCTTGTATCTTTATCTGTAAAATAAAGAGGTTGAGGGAAAAAAAAAAAAAAAAGAAACTTGCAAACTAAGAACACATGGCTAAACTGGGATCATATTGCCTCAACATTACCCAAAACCCAAGTGCTATGATGTGATAGAGCTGAGTGGTGGGAATTTTGTTATTTCCTTATACTCCTCTGTAATTTGAAATTTTCATAAATAGCATACATACACACACCTTTACTTTTTAAAAAATTGAGAGAGAGAGAGAGAGAGAGAGAGAAACATAGATGTGAGAAACATCATTCTGTTGCCTCTTGCACATTCCCAACCAGGTATTGAACCTATGTATGTGCCCTGACCAAGAATAGAACCTGCCGCCACCTTTTGGTGTATGGGACAATGTAGGGAACGGCTCTAGGGTCAAGTCTCGGGCTGACCTGTGGCAGGGCCACAAGCAAGTCCCAGCCTGGAGGGCAGAACTCTCCTAGCATAATTAAGCCTGACCTTGTAGCCCTCCCTAATTCCTTCCTAAGTAGCTAATGGGCTGTGGGAGGTGCAGCAAGTGTTGCCAAAACAAGCACATTTGTATACATGTTAATCTACCCTTGTTGTTTAGGTTTTTTTTAATTAAAATCTTTATTGTTCAGATTATTACAGTTGCTCCTTTTTTTTCCCACAATAGCTCCCCTCCACCCGGTTCCCACCCCACCCTCTGCCCTTACCCCCCCCCCCCCACTGTCCTCATCCATAGGTGTACAATTTTTGTCCAGTCTCTTCATGCACCCCCCCACACTCCTTTTCCCCCCAAGAATAGTCGGTCCACTCCCTTTCTATGCCCCTGATTCTATTATAATCACCAGTTTATTCTGTTCATCAGATTATTTATTCCCTTGATTTTTAGATTCACTTGTTGATAGATGTGTATTTGTTGTTCATAATTTGTATCTTTACCTTTTTCTTCTTCTTCCTCTTCTTAAAGGATACCTTTCAGCCTTTCATACAATACTGGTTTGGTGGTGATGAACTCCTTTAGTTTTTTCTTATCTGTGAAGCTCTTTACCTGACCTTCAATTCTGAATGATAGCTTTGCTGGGTAAAGTAATCTTGGTTGTAGGTTCTTGGTATTCATCACTTTGAATATTTCTTGTCACTCCTTTCTGGCCTGCATAGTTTCTGTTGAGAAATCAGCTGACAGTCATATGGGTACTCCCTTGCAGGTAACTGTCTTTCTCTTGCTGCTTTTAAGATTCTCTCTTTGTCTTTTGCTCTTGGCATTTTAATTATGATGTATCTTGGTGTGGTCCTCTTTGGATTCCTTTTGTTTGGGGTTCTCTGTGCTTCCTGGACTTGTAAGTCTATTTCTTTCACCAGGTAGGGGAAGTTTTCTGTCATTATTTCTTCAAATAGGTTTTCAATATCTTGCTCTCTCTCTTCTTCTGGCACCCCCATAATTCGGATGTTGGTACGTTTGAAATTGTCCCAGAAGCTCCTTACACTATCTTCATATTTTTGGATTTTTTTTTCTTTTTGTTTTTCCGGTTGGGTGTTTTTTGCTTCTTCGTATTTCAAATCTTTGACTTGATTCTTGGGATCCTCTAGTCTGCTGTTGGAACTCTGTATAATATTCTTTATTTCAGTCAGTGTATGCTTAATTTCTAGTTGGTCCTTTTCATAACCTCGAGGGTCTCACTAGATTTCTTGAGGGTCTCACTAAGTTTATCAGCAGTTTCTAGAGAATTCTTGAAAAACCTTAAAAGTGTGGTTTTGAACTCTATATCCAGTAGTTTGCTTTCCTCCATTTGTGTCATTTGTGACCTGTTTCTTTGTCTCCGCATTTTTTATGCTTCCCTGTGTTGATAGAGTGGCTTTCTGTGCTAGGTGTCCTATAGGGCCCAGTGGCTCAGCCTCCCCAATTACCTGAGGTGGATGCTCTTGGTGCACCCCTTTGTGGGCTTTGTGCACAGTCTTGTTGTAGTTAAGCCTTGATTTTTGTAGGTATCACTGGGAGGAATTGACCTCCAGGCCAATTGGCTGTGAGAATCAGCTGTGTCTGCAGTGGGAGAACTTCTGTGCTGGAGACACCCTTCTGGGGCAAGACTTGCTTCAGTGGGGCTTTGGTGCTCACTGAGTCTGCCCCCTGAGTGTGTCCCCTATGGATCTGAGGAATTGTAATCTGGATGGTCCCACTCTGACCACTGGGTACACTGGTACTTGGATCTCTAAGGAGGTGCTAATCTAGCCTCTTCCTGAGGCTACCCATCAGGAACCCAGCTGTGAAGCAATGCAAGCTGATGTGGGGCCTTGGGCCTTCTTTTGTAAGTTCTGGGTTTCTCTGACCCAGCTGCAGTTTGTTAGGTAATTTTCAGATTGCAAAGGGCCAGGCCTTTCATATGCAAAAGCCTCTGCGCACGGCTTGGGTGGGACAGAGTCTTTGGGGATCAACAGGGCAGAGCAAGCAGCTATGGCTGATCCTCAGTCCTACCCTAAGAGGCTCCATGTCTCAGTGTCCCGTTAATCACTGCAAGTACCTCTAAGAGAAAGCCGCCTTCACGTTCTGACTGATGCCAGACAGTCCAGTTTCTCCTGTATGAGTCTGGGTCCCCAGAGACTCGCCCTGAACTGGAGTTCAGAGAAGTCAGGAGCTTGAGACTCCCTCCCGATTGAAAAAGACAACCGTGTCCTCAGCTGCCAGCCCTTTTCACGTGCACCTCCATACCTCTGCTCTTTACTTCCACACTGCACCTCCTCTGAGTCTCAGTGTGCTTTTCTCTTTCCTTCTAGTTGTAGAATTTCCACTCAGCCAGCCTTCCTGTGGTTCTGGATGATGTCCGTTTTGTCTTTTAGTTGTATTTTTGAAGTGGTTGTGCGAGGCAGCAATTTCCGGTGTTTACCTATGCCGCCATCTTGGGTTTTTTTCCTACCCTTGTTTTAATCAGACTATAAAATAAAGCATCCGCTTGCAGGCTGGGTCTTTCATGTCCTCATCCAGGCATGGGAGATCCACCGAGCCCCAGCTGTGTTCTCTTGTCTGTCTTTTCTTCAATCCTTCACCACCCCTCCTCAGGTTCACTGTTGGCCGTGCTGGCGCAACACAGGACAACACTCCAACCCACTGGACCACACTAGCCAGGGCCCACACCTATCTTTTGTAGGTATTATTGCTTCTCTCTTCAAAATGAATGTCTGAATTTTTATAATGAGTAAGTTTAAAGGAAAATGTTAAGTAAAAATAGTGTAGACAGGGTATGGATATTGCAAAATCATATGAAATTCCTAGTGTGTGACTGGAGGTTAGGAAATTCTTATATGGTTTGTACTGCTCTTTTTACTCCAGCTGATTCAGTCTTAGAATCTAATTTGCACAAATAACAATGATCACTGTTGTTGTTTTATTTCTTTTTTATGGTTTAAGGTATTACATATGTCTCCTTTTCCCCCCGATCGACCCCTCCCTGGCCACTCCCACCTCCCATTGATCATTGTTTTGGCATATTTGTATTTCTCTTCAGATTTGATATTCCAGCTCTTTATTTAACCTTATATTATTTCATCGTATGTATTTCAGGGCGGTGGGCATCGACACGCTGAAATCCACTCTGACTCAGACCTGTCACCTCTCCGTCACCCTCTGGAATAACCCATGCTGACACTCTCAGATAGATAGATGCCCTCTTCTTCCTCATGCTAAAGTCCTCCTATTATGCAGGGGTGGGAAATCTCTGAGCCTCTGGTGGGCCACATAAGGCCCATGAAACCATTTGGTCTAGCTCTGCTAAGGCACTAAGAATGAGTTAATTAAATGTTTGACCAAAGCCATGACCAGTTTGGCTCAGTGGATAGAGCATCAGCCTGTGGACTGAGGGGTCCCAGATTCGATTCCAGTCAAGGGCATGTACCTTGGTTGCGGGCACATACCCAGTGGGGGGTGTGCAGGAGGCAGCTGAATTGATGTTTCTCTCTCATCGATATTTCTAACTATCTCTCTTCCTCTCCTTTCCTCTCTGTAAAAAATCAATAAAATGTATCAAAAAAAAATGTTTGACCAAATATTGTAGGCTCATTTTTAATTTGATAATTTCGTATGGCCCCCAAATGATGTTATAAATACCCAAATGGCCCTTGGCAGATAAAAAGGTTCCCCATCCCTGCTTCTGGAGATATTATATATCAATAGAAGAACTACAATTAACACCAAATATATTTTATGAAAATTTACAAGTGAATGACAATGTATGTTCTCTCACTGATGTTTTTGGCGGTGTGGTGAAGTATTAGCTAACCCAATTGTGAAAGAGGTCATTAGTGCAAAGACCAAGAGGCACACGTGACAACCCAGAATGGAATGTTACTAGACACTGCTCACTGGAAGCTGCAATTGTTTCAAAGTCCAGAAAAAGAGACTTTAAATTCTGGGGGAAACCTAGGACTTAGAAAGGTGGATTTTGAAAGACACAGGGTCTGGAATAGTTTATAGTATCAGGCAGAACATGTACCTCTCTTGGAAAGTTACAAGAAGTAACTCAGTAACTTAACAAGCCTATTAAATTTTTATTTTATATTCCACCTAGATCCATGGTTCATACTGGTTACTTGGGAGAAAAATCTACACCGCCATGGGTTCATTCATGGGGCAACCCAAGATTCTTCTGACTGTGGTGTTGGTCGTCCTGGCTTGGGTGAGTACAACCCAAGATTCTTCTGACTGTGGTGTTGGTCGTCCTGGCTTGGGTGAGTACTACCCAAGATTCTTCTGACTGTGGTGTTGGTCGTCCTGGCTTGGGTGAGTACTCCCCTTGCTCCACTACCTCTTGTCGCTGGCTCATTTGTTCTCCCCTTGTGCAACCTCCAGTTTGAATTGATTACTGCCTGACGTCCGGGAGAGGGGGCTGAGGGAGCTCTCAGTTTCCTTCCGTCTGCCTCAGAGGAACTCCAGTGGCAGCAATTGCAAGGTGAAGCCTTACCCTTAGGAGAAGGGTGGGTGGTTGGGTGTTGGGGTCTATTAAGGAGTTAGAAACACAAACCCAGAAGAGATTGTTCCAGGGAAATCCCAGTGGAGGGGAAGGGGAGCAATTCACATTGTTTTTAGCTCTCTAACCCTTTCTGTCACAGTGTATGAGATAGAAGTCTGTGGTGTCCAGTCCTGCTTTTTAAGCACAGAAAAAGTCAGGGATTCAAGAAAAAAATCCCTGTCCAAAAGGCGAGTGGGCAGTTGGCTGGAGTGACCTTTGTGGTGTTTTGGAAGAACTTGGCTGTGACAAGAAGCTATGAATACCTGTAAGAGAAGGCATTTCCCTGTTTGCCCATAGATCATAACTGGAGTTTGTTTAATGTAGCTATAGGTACATTTTGTTTGGCCTGTTTTAACTTATGCTTAAAATAATTGAATGGGTTATTGATATTTAAACAGTATGATATTTCACATAAAAATATGAATTTCTGGTTTCTCTTAAAAGTGGTTTAACCTCAGGACAGCAAGTTCACAAATTGGTCTTTATTCTAATAGCACGGAGGGGTTTGGTATGGAAACCCTAATTTTTTTAATGTTGACAAAAGAAACGTCCAATCCTGTAGAGAATTTTTCTGAATTTATTTGAGCCAAACTGACAATTGCAGGAAGCAAAATCTCAATGGATTGAGAAAATGCTCCAGAGAATGGCCGTTTTATAGCTTACTTTATACATTAGAATCAAAGGAGGAGATGTTACATGAAAGGGGGGTGGGATTTACATGAAATTCATTGGTGGTAAACTAGGGAGGTGGAAGAAATCAGAGCAGGGAAATCTCTGAGATTGGATAAAGAGTACAACAGAGCTCAGCTGGCGTGGCTCAGTGCTTGAGCATCAACCTCTGAACCAGGAGGTCACAGTTTGATTCTTGGTCAGGGCATATGTCCAGGTTGCGGGCTCGATCCCCAGTAGGGGTTGTGCAGGACGAAGCCAATCAATGATTCTCTCTCATTGATGTTTTTATCTCTCTCTCTCCCTCTTCCTCCCTCCCTCTGTGAAATCAATAAAAAAAATATTTTTTAAAAAAGAATAAAATGGAGAGACAGATACTTCTTTTAAATTGGAGGATACAGGATGGTTAACAATGAACAGTTATAGCATGTAGAACATGGTATTTGGGGAACAAGATAACAATGAGGGGTTCTGCCTGGCTGGTGTGGCTCAGTGGTTGAGCATTGACCCATGAACCAGGAGGTCACGGTTGGATTCCCATTCAGGGCACATGCCTAGGTTAAGGGAGGGCAGTGAGCAGGAGGCAGCCAATCAATGATTCTCTCTCATCATTGCTGTTTCTATCTCTCTCTTCCTCTCTCTGAAGTTAATAAAAATATATACAAATATATTTTTTAAAAACAACAACAAAATGACAATGAGGGGTTCTGTGGTCTCAGTGGTATGAGGTTGTACTCTGAGGGTCTGGAAAAAGGGGGTTGCTTAAACTTTCAAAGGGTATGCTATTTTAATTTTATTTCCCATTAATCCTCATCTGAGGATATTTTCCCATTGGTTTTAGAGAGAGTGGAAGAGAGAGGAAAAGAAAGAGAGAAACATCAATGTGAGAGAAACACATCAATTGGTTGCCTCCTGCACATGTCCTGACCAGGCCCTGGGCCAGGGAGGAGCCTGCAACTGAGGTACATGCCCTTGACTGGAATCAACCCAGGACCCTTGGGTCCGCAGGTCCATGCTCTATCCACTGAGCCAAACCGGCTAGGGCTCAAAGGGTATGTTATTTTAGATGCAAAAAGACAATAGACTTGCATGCATATTAGCATAACCAATGGACACAGACACTGGGGCAGTGGGAGCTTATCCTGGAGGGTGTGGGATAGACAGGCTTACTTCAAGTAAATACTGACCTTTGTCAAGGAAACTATAGGCCTAGGATGTCACCACCTGCCACGGCTCGCTTTTAGTTAGGACTTCTTGAGTTCAGATCATCCTGTTGTTATTGGTGCTGGAGTTCTTGAGTTCCCCAACAAGAGGAAACCCCAGAGAAATTTCCAGACAGATTTTTTTTATTAGGCTTATGTTTGAGCACAAAAGAGGCAGCACAAAAGGAAGGACGGTTCTCTGAATTGGCTTGGGGACTGAGTTTGCTTGGCTGTTTTTATAAGCTGGGGACAAAGTGGGTGTGTGCAGACCAATCAGTAGAAACCACCAATCCTGAAAGGACATGAAAAAAGAAACAATAGGCTTTTGGGAAAAGGAAGTTTTGTGGAATTTTCCATGTCAGGGCAGGAAAAGCAAGCTATTAGAAGGGAGACAAAATTCTGCAATTGCTTTGAGCAGAGTGTGAAGGGGTAGTGACATTCAGATCTGATATTCCTTCTAGCTACCGCATCTTACTGGCTTCCTGGTCACTGAGTATTTTTCCACTCTTGGGCCCAAGTCCTTATACTGTCTCACTCTGTGGTTACTTTCAGTCTTTGAGTTTGTAAGGCCCACCATGCAGGCCTCCCTGATCTAGTCAGGTTTAGTAAGTGGCCCCTTTTTGTCCCCATTAAAAATCAGATCCAGCCGAAACCGGTTTGGCTCAGTGGATAGAGCGTCAGCCTGCGGACTGAAAGGTCCCAGGTTCGATTCCGGTCAAGGGCATGTACCTGGGTTGCGGGCACACCCCCCGTGGGAGATGTGCAGGAGGCAGCTGATCGATGTTTCTCTCTCATCGATGTTTCTAACTCTCTATCTCTCTCCCTTCCTCTCTGTAAAAAATCAATAAAATATATTTTTTAAAAAAATTTAAAAAAAAAGAAAAATAAATCAGATCCAAATAAAGTATTGATTTCATTTCCAGAGTAAACTTTCACTGTGAGAGAGTGAGACATCTTGGTGCAGCAGCCAAAACTTTCCACTTTTTAAAAAGTTGAATTATAACATACATGAGAATATATAAATCATAAGTGCTCCATTAAATAAAAGATAACACAGCTGTGTAATCATCACAAGTCAAGAAATAAAAATTACCAGTACCCCAGAAGCTTCCGTTTTTGCCTTCTTCTCTATCACTATCACCCTCTCTTCTTTCCAACTATAAACATTATAGGTTATTTTTGCCTGATTTTGCATTTTATGGAAATGTAATCGTAAACTATGTATTCTTTTATGTGTGTGTTCTTTCATTCTAAAGGCAGGAGAGTAAGAAGCTAGGAAAATTCTTTGGCAGGTAGAATGGGGAAAGTGAAACAGATTGCTAAGTCACACTGGCCTCATCCAGCACCCTGCCTCACCTGCTGCCTTCTCCCTTGTGTGACCACCTCCTTAAGCATTAAGCCCTCAGGACAATGAGGTTCTCATCAGCATCAAATAATCTTAGAACAAAGCCTCTGGTCTGTTGATCATCAACACAGAGTTTTGGTCAAACTAGAGATAACACCCAGGCCTCAGTTGTGTTTCAGCTCCGAACCCAGAAATAGCAAAACCAGAAGAAGCAATGCCTTCGCTGACATCAGGACCAGATGCAATGACTAATGACCTCCTACCATAGTGCAGACCAATCAGTAGAAACCACCAATCCTGAAAGGACACAACTAAAAGCTGATGAATATTCTATTGAGATCCTTCCCTGAGTCCTCCCCTAAAGTCCCTGTCTTTAGAAAACAGGTAAAAAATCCTCAAGACAAGGGACCCAGTGCACTTGCACTCTCTCTATCTCCCTCTGTTGGTACCTTCCTCCTGTCCCCTTATTTCCTCAAGGCATGTACTAGTATCTTCACTTTCCATCTCCTAAACTCCAATAGCACTTTGGCTTCTGTAACTTGTCTCCTGAGTCCCTGCAGCCCAGCTGGCTCACTTCTTCTACCTCTGTGACTTTCTAAATAAACTTCTTGCACTAGAGTTCTTGGCTCTGAATTCTTTCTTTGCTGAACTCAAGAACTGAGGTCAAATACCGCCACTAACAATTCTGTTTTTATGAGAGTCATCCATGTTGTAGTGTAAACCCATGATTTGCTCATTTTATGTTAGTACTCTAGTGCTTTTAGTACTCTAGTGTATATGAATATATGACAATTTACTTATCCATTCTACTATTGACGGCCATTTGGATTGTATTCAATTTTGAACTATTCAAAATATTGCCTGGTGCACATATGCATGCCTTTCTGTTGAGTATATACCAACCAGCTAAATTGCTTGGTTCTAAGATATGCAAACATTAACCTTTAGTACAGTGCTTCTCGGCCTTCCTAATGCCGCGACCCTTTAATACAGTTCCTCATGTTGTGGTGACCCCCAACCATAAAATTATTTTTGTTGCTACTTCATAACTGTAATTTTGCTACTGTTATGAATCATAATGTAAATATCTGATATGCAGGATGTATTTTCATTGTTACAAATTGAACATAATTAAAGCATAGTGATTAATCACAAAAACAATATGTAATTATATATTATGAAATATTTCTAATTACAAATAAATGAAATTTTGTCTTGAAGCATGGTGTAGCATGGGTAACAGTCTTAATATAACAACAGTAAACTACATTGCTACATTTTGCGACAGTATGCGTAAAAAGCCAACGTCAGTGTGAAGGTTGAGATAGCGTCTTTCTCACCAGATCAGAAATTCTCGAGGCAGTCTTTGCAAGAGCACAACGAAAATCATCTTCCACAACAAGTCTACTTCTGTATTTAGACTTGATAACCAACAAGCTGGAAAATGTTTCACAAAGATATGTTGTTGGAAATGGAAGAAGAAGGCGCAACACAGTCTCAGACAGAACAGGATATGACTGCAAACACTTGATCCAGAATTCTGTAACTGGCATTGTAGGGAAATCAGTTCTCGCTGCATCGTTGTTAATAAGTTCAATGAACTCCCCTTGTGCTGTCTCAGGAACATCTTCAGCTTTGACTGCGAACGGGCTTCTGGCAAGTGCAAATGGGGTGTCAGGCAGATTTGGAAAGTATGATGAAATTTCGTCGGCAAGCTTGTGCAAGTGTTCTTTCATAGAAATTATCATCATAATCCTTTTGTCTTGTTCAATGTCATGTTCCTCAAAGAAAGCAGATAAGGTAGGCAACGTGTAAATTTTATTTTCTCCAATTTTTTTTTTTTGCCAAAGCTGAAGTTTCATTTGGAATGATCAGATCTTTTCAGACAAATCGAGGCATGTTGCATTTGGTCCTTGCAGTGATAAATTTAACTCAACCAAGTAAGCTATTTTCTGCAGTTCACTTTTATCACCGAAAAGTGCTTCGAACTGCTGTCTTGCTTTCTGATTAAAAAACGTTTTGAGTTCATCACAAAGCTCAAAAACACAT